GGGTTGAGTGAATTAGCAGAAAACCACAGTAGAAGGCGGTTACTTTCTTGTTCAATTTCATTGTGAATGCAGTCAAGGTTGGTGTAGGTAGACGATTTGAGGAGATTGAGATCATCAGCGTAGCCATATATTGGTGAAGGAGATTGAAGCCAAGTTGGCAGATCATTGATGTAGATGGAAAATAAAACAGGTCCACATACACTACCTTGTGGGACACCAGTCTTGACATCAATGAGCTCGGAGTAATGGCTACCAAGTTTAACACACTGAGTGCGGTCAGAAAGGTAGCTACGGAACCAATGTAAGGTTGTGGGTTGGAAATTGTAATGCTTGAGTTTGTGGAGAAGAATATCATGGTTGAAGGAATCAAATGCTTTTGACAGGGGTAACATTAGAAGACATGACAGTTTCTTATTGTACATGTTTTCGAGGATGTCATCTGTAAGGCGTTGTAGAAGTGTAGTTGTAGAGTGCTTTGGTCTGAATCCAGAGAAGGTGGGATGGAGAATCTTATTTGCTTCCAGGAATTGAAGTAGTTGTTTGCAGACTAGTTTTTCAAGTACCTTTGATAAGGTTGGTAAAAGTGAGATTGGACGATAGTTCTGGAAATCCTGCTTATCCTTCTTGCCTTGTTTGAATATTGGTGTAATAGTAGCCTTCTTCCACATTGATGGCATAATGCCCTGACTTATAGACATGTTGAAGATATGAGTGAGAGATGGTACAATTGAAAGCGTTTTTGTATCGTAACACACTTCTTTCAATGAAATTCTCTAATACGCATTTGCACTGGATGTGGCAGTAGATAAATACATACTTCTCAATTAACAATTTTGTGTGAGAGTGAAAAAAAACATACAATAAATCAATGCGAAACTTAGTAAAGTGACTCTGCGATGTACACTTTTGATTTGTTCTAAATATGGTACAAATACAAATTTTTGTTTAAACTTTTTATAAGTATGTAGCTTATTCTTTTCTTGTTGAAAGAGTATGACAATTACTAAACATATGTATTGGTTTTGATTTTTCATCCAACCAATTGAGTTGTGTATGTGTTCTATAACATTTTGGGGTAGGACACAAGGCCTTAACAGCTTGTGTAGGGCAAAGATAAATCATAATTCGATTTGGTCTATAGTATGGAGTATCGAAAAAAATATTAAAAATTATTCAGTTCGTTTATATTTGAATCTTTAAACGTTGCTTTTATATTTTAAGAAAAACTGTAAATGCTCTACAAAAGAAGACCCGTGAGAATTGTTTCGTCTGCTATTTCGGTCTGCTCTCAACCAACCATTTTATGGAGACATTGCTTTCTTATTTTACAGTTAGGCCCCCCCCAAAAAATTGTTTTGTTGCCCTCAGCGACCGACCGAAAAATAATAAATATCGGGTCGCGTTTTTTTTTTTTTTTTTTTTTTTTAAATAGGCCCAAATATTAAAAACTTGTTTCCTCTAAAAATTAACGATCCCGGACCGTTGTTTGATCTACAGGGTCCCCGGGGGGATAAGTGGCGACTTTGAACCTCGGGTTGATCTGTATTTCTCTAAAAAAAAATCCGACCGACCGACCCAATTTTTTCCGACTTGAGGGCAACATAATTTTTTTTTTGGCCTTATGCAGTGTCACCTACATGATTCATTCATTGTTGCATAAAATAGTAGGTCACGTAGACCAGCCGAAAGATTCAGACGACAGACGTCACCCCTCCCGACCGAGACACCACAAGTTATGAGATAGGAAACACTCACCTGGGTTTACTACATTGCTACGGTGAGCACTGAAATAATTCCCTCTTCCAGCTCCACGACGTCCCCTCCACCCACCACGCGATCTTCCTCTCGACCAATTTCCCCCTCCACCCCCGGTATTATAACTACTCATGAATAAATATGTAACAAATGTCAGGATGGAAACTCAGATCACCATCGTCGACGACCAGACTTTTCTTCTTTAGGGCCTTGGTAGCGACATCAAAATCGACATTATACACATATTTGGTAAAATTTTTCAATATCAAACTTGCCGCCGACGAGGCCGAGGTCGTACTTTCACAACATATCCCGAAATGCATTGCACAAATAAAGATTTGTTCTGTTGTGTGCGGGCGCACTTCGAGAACCCTTTCGCGTTTGCTGGGCTCATACCACTAATTGAATTTCCATAGACGACAATGTTAACACACGACGAGATTGCTATATGAAAATGATGAACAAAGTTGAAAACATGGCTCAAAAATGGGAAATCAAAAAATGAAAAAAACTAACATGTTGGCCAGCTCAAACTCTTGCAAATTTCAGGTAAACAAGACACACCTACTGTATTTGGATTGCACCTAGAGAAATCACTGGAAAAACACCAAGATTAGAACATCCAAATATACACAGAATAAACTCACAGGTACACAGTCGCTAAGTAGTAAACAAAAGACCACATGTTGGTCTCACCTTTGATCCAGGTGATCACGCCCTCAAACCTAAGAAAAAAAATATTTAAAAAAATTCATTGGTTCTTGCAAGGCATTTAAATTGATTGATTAGTGGCATGAGACCTGCTCATGACATGGGCCATACTAGTATTATAGGACTGTATAGAAAAAGGACATACAACTGAGCACAGTCCCTCGTAACTGGATGTCCGTAACTCGAACAATCCAGCATCTCCCGTAATTTGAATAATTCAGCTTCTGTTAGAGCTTATTTCTCACAGCTAACAGGCGGAAAGTTGCACCACCACAGTCCAGCATAACAATGATTGTAATATTGTTTTCGTATTTTTCTCAGAAATAGGCATTACTGTTTTATAGCATAGTATCTCTATTGACAGGGACTGAGTGTTTATAGTATAGTTGTGTTTGTCTTTGCATATAAATCATTGCACATACTCAGACTAATGTATAGTAAACGATTATCGTTTTGCTTAATGTAAAGGCTGTTACTAGTACTTTGCTACATTGCTTTGTTCGAGTCACATTGACTGGGCTTTGGTCTCTGGATGTATGTTTTAAAGACCGGGAAGGTTGTAACTTTGTTAGCAATATATTTATCCTTTAGGGTAGGTTAAAGTACTTTATTCTTTATAATTATTATATGGAGTGTTCCACTGATTTGTAGCAATTAAGCTAATATACCAATGTGACGAAATCCGATCAATTTAACATGTGTCAAATAGTATGTCCGATAATTAACATCCATGTAAATAAAACCCAACTTAGATTTCTACTTTTGATCAGTGCGAGGAGCGCTAATTCAAACATAACTTTTTACCGACAGCTCTTGTATTTAACATGCCACTTTCTATATAGAGTTGCAAAACGAATGGACTGACACAATATGAATATTCTTCCCTACTATGAATTATATGCAACAATACAAGGTAGACTCAATTCTATGATCTGGGCTTTATTTATATTGTGGACATTTTCGGCACGGGGGGGGGGGG